GCGGGGAAAGTTTTTTGGTCAGCCGCTCGACATGCTAGTTGTTAGAGACCAGCTCAGCGAACCGCTTCGTGTATGATCGTTTTTTCGATGTCGGTACACCATGACCGCGCAACGAAATTTGATTGTTTCAGATTCTCTTTGAGCACCTTGTCAGGGAAGGTACGTTTATGGAGGGAATTTTCCGAAAACCTCCCAAGCAGAGCTCGGCAAAAGAGATACGCGATCAGCTTGATAAAGGCGTTGCCGTTTCACTTCTGGGGAAGCCGCCGAATATCAGTGCGTCGCTTTTAAAGGCATGGCTGTAACGCTTTTCGGATCGAGCGTCTAATTTTGCTTTTCGTTCATGCAGGAGTTTTTACGACAGCTGCCTGAATATCTGTTGATGACGTCAAGGTTCGATGATTGGATGAAAGCAATTGACTCTGGCCAAACCGAGAACGAGAAATGCTATGAAATCGCCAAGTACTTGCTTCATTTTGTCGTCTCGACGGCGTCATTTTGACGCGTTTCTCTGTTAGACTCATCTCGGAACTACCGCAGCCGAACAGGACGTTCTTAAAACACCTTATTTGCCTCTGCTGCCACATAGTCGATCACGCTGACGTGAATCACATGGACAGCCAAAATCTGTCCATTTGCATCGGTCCGAGTTTACTTCAGCCTCCTTTGTATTTCGTTAGTCTCGAAGATCTCAGAAGTAAAAAAGTGGCCGAAATCACTAAATTTATGATCGACAAGTTAGTCGCGCAGTGACGCACCTTTATTTCCGTGTTTCAGCTTTCCTTTTAGCGCCGTGGAGCTTTTCGGTGAGCACTGCCTTCATCTGTTTGACGACTTTATGCCTGCGTCTGATTCTCGTCTGGAAAGGCAAAGATATCTAGACCCTTTCCACGGTAATCGTATCTGAGCTATAGTTGGAGGCGTGGTTTATTGTTCATTATCAATTTGTTGCGCTGAATTAGTCCTCGCTTTGTACGAATAGGACTTATTGCAGTTGTCGCTAACACTTTCTTTGCGAAAAGCTTTTTCAGCGGTTAGTTTTAAAATTTTCAGTTAATCAGTTATCAATATATGAAACTCAAGCGAATATGCCTTCTGATTTCGCTGCTTTCAGAATGAAAGGTAGCAGTTAATCTTTATTTAGCAGAAATTCTACTTGCGACCAAACGGAATCATTCATTATTA